AATAAGGTTTAATTTCACTAAAAGTAAGCCTTAGTTACGATCACAACGAGAGGTAAGTTTTACTTTCAATCTTTCTAATTAACTATTTAGACATTTTTCGTGTCAAATAAAACAGTTATTATTTAAAAGCTAAATTATTTATAATAATAGAGTTTACATATTTTTATGAAAAATATATGTTTATCATGTCAGATTTTTATTATTTATTTCGCATATCTATTTATATTTTAGACAATACTTTAAAAGTCTACCTACAACACATTTTTAATTTTTTTATTAGGTTTAAATTTTTATTATAAAAAATCATTGTCAATGTAATCATTTTGTTGACTCATAATTAGCTTCCAAATATGTAATAATAATTATGCAATTTAATTGCTATCATTATTTAATGCATATAAGTTATTATCGCTTAAATCAATTTTCATATCTTATTAATTTCATAATTAATTATTAAGATTTTGTTGATAAGTTATGATTTAAAACTTCTGCTAATTATTAAGTGTGACGAAGTGAAAGGTAATTCATGTTAATAAGGTTTAATTTCACTAAAAGTAAGCCTTAGTTACGATCACAACGAGAGGTAAGTTTTACTTTCAATCTTTCTAATTAACTATTTAGACATTTTTCGTGTCAAATAAAACAGTTATTATTTAAATGCTAAATTATTTATAATAATAGAGTTTACATATTTTTATGAAAAAATATATGTTTATCATGTCAGATTTTTATTATTTATTTCGCATTTCTATTTATATTTTAGACAATACTTTAAAAGTCTACCTACAACACATTTTTAATTTTTTATTAGGTTTAAATTTTCATTATAAAAAATCATTGTCAATGTAATCATTTTGTTGACTCATAATTAGCTTCCAAATATGTAATAATAATTATACAATTTAATTGCTATCATTATTTAATGCATATAAAAGCTATTATCGCTTAAATCAATTTTCATATCTTATTAATTTCATAATTAATTATTAAGATTTTGTTGATAAGTTATGATTTAAAACTTCTGCTAATTATTAAGTGTGACGAAGTGAAAGGTAATTCATGTCTTAATTTAATAATCACTTTACCTAGTTTATTACAAAATAAATGCATGTCATTTACAAATGGTCTGTAATTTAAGTTAATGTACAACTGACCATAAAAGTAAGTATCAGTAAATATTTATATTTAAAATATTCAATAAATAAATACATGAATATTTAAACTCATTAAAGCGATTGATATATTCTCAACATTTATTTATAAATATATTTTCTGAACGACAGCCAAATAGTAGAAGAATTTTGCTCCATTTTTTACAAACAAATTCTGTATTCATTGTATTCTTGAATTGTTATTAATTATTATAATTTTTCATTCCTGTTTGAGTTTAATTCTCAAATATCTCAATATTTACTCAATTCTTTAAAAGAATTTAAACATTCAAGAATACTGTACATACTAAGGGTATATTGCATACATAATACTGTACATAATACAATATTCCTGTATATAAGTACAATAAATAATAAATTGTCAATTATATTACGGTACAGTATAATATACTAAATCATGTACAGTAATAGACAATTGTGTCATTTGATATTATAGGATGTAATTTAGACTTCAACAAGTAATGGTTTCAAATATAATATTTAAAATACACTACAATATCATATTTAATATACTAAATTATTGATAGAAGAAAACAGTAGCTAAAAAATAATGGTTTCGCAAATTAAAGTATAACTTGAAAATTAAAACCAAATAAAATATATTCATTAAAATAAATCAGCATTGGCAATAATACTTGCTAATTGTCTTGAATGTTTATTTGATAAATTAAAGTTTATTTATTACACAAATGATTTATGAATGAAAGGAGGTAATGATGTTTTAATTAATCAATTATAATCATTCTAAATAGAAGTAAATTTATAAAATAAATAACTTTTCTATATTAAATTATCTTTAGGATAAAATAATTCTTAAAAATGTCTGACAAACGGGTACTTCTGGGGTCTCTAAAGACCAAAAATTCAGTTATAAGGGAAATGCTGTCGGAATTTATCGGAACACTGATTCTAGTGGTAAGAATCTCTCGCAAATAGAAACCAGCACATATTTTGAATACTCTTATGTGAACAAATATTTTGCAGTTGATGTGTAACTGTTCAATTGCCGTACAAGTGTTAGGTCGTCGACCACATCTCGATTTGGTAACTATTAACTAATTTTTAATATACGGTATTAAATAAACACATTATTCTCATAAGAATTCTGTTGGAATCGCAACGGGTGTGGGACTTATGATCGCTGCATATTTGGGAGCAAAGGTTTCCGGTCAGACATACATTATCTTAACTGTTAATAACAAGGAATTAAAATTAAATATTTTTTAATAGGAGGACACGTCAATCCAGTGGTCACTTTAGGTTTGATATTAACGTACAATATGATACATGAATTACAAATGTATTTGAAATATTTATCCTGAATATAGCTGTGGCAACACTCGGAAAATTTCCGTTAAGGTATTCAATTATGCACTAAATGTTACATTAAATTACAAAATTCTTGATTATAATTATCATGATAACAGAAAAGTGCCGCATTACTTTGTGGCTCAATATCTGGGAGGTTTAGCCGCGTCTATTCTCGGTATACCCTAGCTTAGTTCATTGTCATAAGTGAATTTATATGAAATGAATGAATGTCCCACTCGTAGTGTATCTTAACTTTTACAATGCAATCAATGAATTTGACGGGGGAGTTAGGTCGGCCTTTTTCAATGCAACCAGCACTGCAGGTATGGTATTCAATATTAGATTCAATATCACTAATGATATATAAAATGTCTAAATTATATTATATTAATTATATTTAAAATGTCTCTCAAAGGTATAATGACTACTCACCCCACACTCAACTTAACGGCGTGGGGAGCTCTTTGCGATCAAGTAATCACAAGTTTAGTCATCATATTAAAAGACTCACTAATGTCTAGTTAATTATGAAATATAGATCATATCGGTGGCATTACTGCAGTTCGGAATTATGTGTTTAATCGATGGCAAGAATCTAAATGTACCCAAACCTCTGATCCCAGTCGGGTTGGCCTTATTGTTAGCGGCACTTATCATGGCTTTCGGGTTAAATTGTGGTCCAGCCCTGAATCCGGCCCGTGACATACCCGGCCGTATATTTGCATACATTGTAGGCTACGGTGGAAATGTATTCGGCCCTCAAGATTATGTTTATTGGCTTATAGGAGGACTAATTGGTTTGATGAGAAATTCTGGTTATCAGTGATAATTGATAATTTATGTGATATATTTAGGGCCACACGTGGGAGCAATAATCGGCGCCTGGCTTTACTACCTGTTCATTGAATTGCACTTAGAAGACGAGAGTGTTGACCAAAATGGTTATATATTTGAATGAATTTATAATTTATAAAATAATGTAGTATTCATTGAAATATTCTCTCAAAACTAACTATTATTTCTCTCCATTTGAAGCCCAAAAGGAAGACATCTTATTGCAAGAGAATGTCTGAAGAATCAGATGGAAAGGGATGACTAATAATCAGATGTGAAGTCTGCTGTGAATGACATTTAAGTTTATCATTTAGTCTTTAGCTTCTATTGCATTGGTTTAAGATATTTGTATTTCATGTCATAAGTAAACAATTGTTTTGTTAAATAAAACTTACAATATGCTAGAATATATTGTTCACTATACCTTGTATTCATTTATAAATCAAATATTGATCATATAAGTGAAATCCGATTAAACGATCAAAAAAGACATTAATGTTATTAAATTTATTATTAAATATATTTAACAAGAAATGCAAACAAATGATTTTTGGTAATGAATTTGTCTCCAAAACAGTAATTGACAGGAAAATGATTCGTTAGAGAATGAGATCAAAAAGATATCAATCTGTGACCACATAATTAATGTATAAAAGTCTCAATGTATAACTTTAAATAAATAATTAGTAAACTCTGTCCAAATGAGCTCATTTTCAATTATAATTAGAGCTCGTAATTGCTTGTGCTTTCTACTACTGTATATGTGTACTGTACTGTACATGCACAATTATCACAAAACATATACTAAATTGGGTTATATTACGAGCAGAATCTTAATTAAACATAACTCATTTAAACCGAGTTTACAATGACATTGCTAAATATAGGGTGTCCCAGCGTATTAGCAGGATTTTAAATTGAAATCAAAAATATTTACAATTATATTATTTTAAGAAAAACTATACAAAAATTGTGGAAATGTATTCATATTCCTATGGTACTGTATAACTTATTTTGCGTAATACCATAGGAATACAACTGTCAGTGAATGCGAGCATCAATTGAAACAATGCAAGAAATTGACAATTTTTATGAATAAAAAACAATATAGTTTTTGTTAGAATAATATAATTGTAAATATTTTTCATTTCAATTTAAAACCCTGCTAATACGCTGGACACCCGATATATCAATACTAAATAATTAAGTCTTTTCGGCATCGATTGCATCTTCGGTCGTAAATTCAGATGAATTTCGAGAACTATTGGACCAATAATTTCGAAAGAGTGTCAACAGATCGGAAGGTTTCGGGACATTGAGTCCCACGTCATCCCAACTCTCGAAGTCTTGCTCTTCGTTTTCAT